TTTGGAATTGACCTCTTTACCCTGCACCCTCCCACCCTCCATGACACCCCCAAACCCCTACCGAAGTATAGGGAAGTCATTTTCAAACTTTTAAATCAAATAATTATTTTTCCAAGTAAAATTGAACTTTATCAATGTATAAAACAGCTAAAAATGGGGCTTCTATGGTGAGAGCACCTTGGTATATCTCCAGTGAAATTCCATGGAGTGTAATTTGAAAAGCTCTGGAAAATGGAAAGAACACTTGACCAGGAGTTAGAGTTACAATCACTGGATTCCATTCAGTCAGTTCAATTTAGCAGACATTTATTGAGCATTTTCAGAGTGCCAAGCACTTAAAATACTAAGGGGTGAAAAGGCACTTTGGAGACATTCCTTCCAGTGTAAGAAAGAGTGGGTGTGGGAGCAAGTGTAGTAAGGTGTTGCAGATGCTTCGGCAGGTTTCTGGACAAGGTCAGTGATACATGTCAACCACTCGGCCTTGGGTTTCTGTAGATTTAAACTAAACAAATTGGAAAAAACTACATATAGAATCTAACCTCTTTTACATGCATGACCATATGATTCTGTTGCTCTGTGCCACTGACTGGGCCACAAAGGAAATGGACATGGAAGTACAAGGACAGGATGCAGCATGTGCATCTCTGAAGTTTTTTTAAAGTTGAGGAAAGTTTGTCATTTCTAGTCAGAAAGGCAGGAATAAAAAAATAAATACAATGTATGGTTGCTAAGGAACATAACTATGCAGTATCATCTTCAGCCGTTCCATAATATTCCTTCTACCTCCATGACTCATGTGAAACCTGGCTTTCCCCTAATAATAAAATGGAGGCCTCTTATCCTCCAACTCCACCCTCAACCCAGTTTCATGAGACCAACAGAAAGAGTTGATAAACTAGGCAGCAGGTACTGCACAGACAGTGTATTCTTTGTATGGAGTGCTCCGTAATCCACTTCCCACAGATAATTACTATGAACACTTTAGTATATATATTTTGGGCATTATGTATCTATAACAATATATCTAATCTATCTACATATTTTATATATGTTATATATATCTATATATTATATATGTATTTCTGTTACTTTATCTACATCTATATCTGTACTGACACTTCATTCTTTGTAAGTGAAATGTCTTTCACTTTATATATTTTATTTTTAAAGCATTTTTATTTTAATATTAAGTAAGTTTAATATGCTTCTTTTCTTCACCATCCCACAGTCTCTGCCACCATGCTCATTCTGAGCCATTGTTCTTTGCCCTGCCATATTGTAGTTCCTTCCTTTGGACTCTATGCTCTTTAATTTCTACTGATCTTTCTCCATTTCATATCTGCCTTTTCCAGGATACTTCTTTCTTGAAGACTTTCCCAGCTTGCTCTCAAATTCCCATTCCCACCTGTTAGCATCTCCAATATCAGCTCTATCCATTAATATCCAGGGAGGCACTGTGGTATGGTAGAAAGAATATGAATTTTTTGAGTTAAAATGACTTAGGTTCCAATCAGCTGTGTGACTTTAACAAGTCACTTAACCTCTCAAGATCCCAAATTTCTAATCTTAAAAAAATGAGAGTAATAACAATAGCCATTTTATGACGTATACCATATATATCTGGTACATGTAGTTGCCATTCCTATTTTTAACTATTGAGAATGTTTGTGATAGAGATTAGAAGTAACGTATCTAAAATGATTGTTAGAATGCTTTGTAAATAGTTGGAAATCAAAACAAAGCAACAGCCAGTATTTCTGACAGCTTGACCTTAAACAATTCTAGTGTTAACGATCTACTGCCTCAGTAACCATGACTGATTCTCATTTCACCTCTTTCATGAGCATAACTGCCTTTCCTCTAGGAGGTGGGGATCAACGTTGGCAGCACATTAGAAGTCTTTGGGAGCTTTAAAAATATACTGATGCTGGGTTTTGTCCTGCGATTTTGATTTAATTGCTCTGAAGTGTAGCATGGGCATTGGGATATTTTTAAAGCTCTAAAATGTTAAACTATATAAATCTTGCTTCACTTCTCCAGCTCTTCCACTCTCCCCACATTCTCACCCTTGCTAAAACCTATCTGGGTCTCTGTCATTAATGCTCCCATATTCTTTCAGTTTGCTGCTTGCTTCAGAGACCACCTTGTCCAGCCAGGATCCCAGAGCCAACTGTGCATACAAAACTTGTCACCACCAATGATAAGAAAGGGCTAGTTTGCTTGCCACTTTCATGGTTTATAGATACTTTTTTTAAGTCGCAGACTCATGGAGTCCTTGACAGATTCCAGTTTCTTCTTGAAATTTCCAAGACCATTAGTCATCTTCAACTCGAGACCAGTTCAACACATTTTCATGCCCTCTTCTGTCAAGAATGGGGTTAAATCACTAATGCTCATTTGGGAAGATGAAATGACTGAGTTAAGCCTTAAAATTTCAGCCCCCCGTCACACATCGAGAACCTGTAACTTACTTTTTAGAATCTCTTCAATGCAGGGGGCAAAATGTGAGCCAGGGGACAGGTCTTGCTGATGACTTAGGGCAGTGTGGTGCTTTATTTCATTACGCATCATTGGAATTTGAGTATATTTAGATGGGCCAATAACTTTCTAGTTGAGGGTAGGCTCCAGCTTTTGTTACTGTATTTATAGTAGACCATATGCATTTGCCTACCAGAGAGGTTTGAGAATAAAGAAGGATTTTAAATTTGGTGTTATTTCCAATTAGGTTTTGTAAGCTTTCAAGGCTTTAAGGGCCAACCCATTAATCTGGTTTATCATGAGTATGGTTAGCTTGGGTGCATATCCAGCAGTGAGTTAAATTGGCACTGTTGGACAATTATTGGACGGGACCAAAAGATGTTGAAGGGCAAATAGGATAGTCATTGCAGTAAGCAGACATAAGAATCTGAGTATGTTCATCTTGAAATCAGACTAAAAAACTATGAAAAGGAAGACTGTCTTCTCAGGAGTTTTGTTCAGGCAAAAATATGATGGCCATATAATTAGTAAATGAAGCAAAGGTGATCAAAAGGAGGACCAAAGGTAAGAGTTGCTGGATGGAATGATGCATGACTGGCCTGGCCTGGGGTCTTAGGAGAACCGTCTATATCAGGTGCCATCTGCTTTGATCCTGGATCAAGAATTCTAGTGGTGGTCTTGGGTTATTTAGAGATACTCAGTTTAAGATCTCCATTAGGCTGAGATGACCACTCAGCTATAGGGGTCCTTTTTAAATAAGAAACGTGAATCCTTGAGTCAGTACCCCTAAGTTTAGTAGCACAAGGGTTAGTTATTAATACCTGATATGGCCCTCTTCATCAGGGCTGAAGATCATGATGTAGATCATGTTGGAGATCATGATGTAGATCTCCATCTCCCAGAAGTGTGAAATGGAAATACTGCTGTAGGAGCTGTGAGTGAGTTCCTTACAGTAAATCAGGAGGTCTCCTTTCAGCAGTGCAAGTTCATACATTCCTTCATCTAATCTCATAGGTCTGCTGGTAATACTTTCAACAGGAGACAGTCTATGTTTGCTGAAAAGAGATCATAGGTTGAACAATATCAAAGGAAAAGCCTTAGGCCAAGGCAGATTAAGACTCCACCAGTTTTGCCAGTTGAGTTTTGATTGCCCTTTTAGTCTGTTCTATGAGACTGGAGGACTGGGGATGATATGCACAATGGAAATGTTGCAAAATCAGCCAGATCTTACAAACAGATTGTATAATGTGTTCTGTGGTATGAGTTCCCGAGTCACTGTGGAGCTCTGATGGGATTCAAGTTAGGAAAGCTTTTCTAGAAATTATTTTACTTACTACTGAGGCTGTGGCTCTGTGGCTTGATTAAAGTTCACATACCAGTCCTCAAAGTGGCCTAAATGCGAGGGGAAATGCCCCATATAGGTATGAATGGGCTTTCCAGAGTGGTACTCTGCCCAGATTTGGCTTTTTTGTATACCTGGGAAGCTATCTTGAAGATGTCTTACAGCAGTATTGTTTCCCTTTGAAACCATTTTGTCAGTGAGTTAAGTCATGTACATATTGTAACATATGATACTGTATACAATCAGGGAGGAATGGTCAGTCATGTGTACCTACCATAAGTTTCTTTTAGGGCCAGATTTACAGCCTTTTTCTCACCCTTTCTATTTTGTTGAACAGCTAAATGCCCTGCTTTCATAACATTATCTTTTATATCCCCGATTGCTTCAGCTGGTAGCATACATGTCTCCATTAGGGGCTGTGATTGTTTTAATGCTGCTAACTTAGCAGCAATGTCAGCCAAGTGATTATCTCTACTTTGAATGTCCAGGGATTTTTATGTTTAATAAATTTGTAGTTAATTGGGTGACTTTTAAGAGTTCTAAAACATAAGAACTGTTTTTTATCTTTTTTCTGGAAGAAGTCAAGAATTTCTCTGTTTCCAGAGCATACCAGTGTCATGGTCACACCAAAGATGTACCTGCTGTCAGTATAAATGTCAGCCATTATACCTTTGGCCAAATTGCAAGCTCAGCTTAATGCATAGAACCCTGCTTGTTGAGCAAAAGTTGCCTGAGGCATGACAGCCCTGCTCTTTTCCTCTCTCTCTCCCACCTTACCCTTCTCTGAATCCTGAAGAAGAAGCATCTGACCTTTAATGTCATTCCTGGAGAAGGCTTTATTAGGTCTTTTAGATAATTTTGAATAAGCATGTACAAGTCAAAAGGAACAATAAATATTTCTCTCAGGAATATTGACCTCTTGTAGCATCACTTTGCTGGGTCATGCTAACAAAAGTCTCTGCTTAGTTAATCCAATGAAAAATTACTTCTTCTCTAAGAATGCATTGTACAGAGACAGGAGCAGCAGGGTGAGAAAAAACTACAGTTTAATTGTATGAACTTAATGAATTCTAATAATTCAGTAATATGGTAAAAATGCATCAATCCAAAGAAGAAATGCAATGATGAAAGAACATAATGTGGTTGGATAATAATTATAATAATAATAATATTTTTACAGCCACAGTCTTCCTGGAGTTCTGGAAAAGGAGAAGAAGTACACTGACCTATACTTGGGATCTTATTGAATGGGAAGAAGAGGAGGTAAGATGTTAGGAAACAGGAGATAAGGAAATTTGGATGACAGATGTTGCAGAAAGGTGTTCACTGCCCTTGACATCTAAATCGGAAGCAGCTAAACACTATTAGATTTTTCCCTTGATTTGTTTTACTAATAAGATTTCTTATCTAATGACAATAAAAAAGATCAATGATGAGGTAATGTAATTATTTTCAAAACATTTCTATGAGTTTTCTTAAACTACATTGGTGGAAAATTGGGCTAATTAAAATATAGTTAGGGTTTATTTGGAAGGTAATTTGCATCTTATTTTTAAAAGGTTGCTTCTTTGCCAAGACTTGATATAAAAGTAGACCAAAATGCAGGAATTTTGTATCAACTCTTAGATAAATTTTTAAAAAATGTTTTACTTTGATATTTAGTTAACTAAGTTTCTCTCATAGGAAACACTTCGTCCCCAGTTTGAAGCAAAGTATTATAAGATGGAGAGAGTGAATCCCATCAGTGGAAAACCCGAGCCGCATCAGCCTTCTTCAGACAAAGTCAGTCGTCTCCTTGTTTCTATCTCAGGAATATTCTTCATGGTAAAGTATAACCCTTAATATCGGAATGTTGTGGGTTCCAGGGTTAGAAGGAAGTTCTAAGAAACCAACTCATTTTGTGACCCTGATAATGTAAGAAATCACATCCTGTTCAATACTTTGGCAATGCATACTATTAAACAAAATAAAAATCACAGCAGGCCATGGAGTGGTTACAAGGGGAATATGTACATATCCTTAAGATTACTTGGAGTACACTCTATGGGAGAAACAGAGATCATCTAAGGTAAAATGGAAATTGTGTGAGTTGCCCTGATGAATTAGTTATCTTGTTTTAAAACCAGGTATTCCATTTAAAAGTGGAAATTTCAACAAAATTTTAATTTTAGTGTGATAGCTTTATCATACTACACCAACTTAAATCCTATACTATTTATTTTGACACTAATGTAACTTGGTTCCTTAAAGGAAGAAATTAAATTAATGTATACTTTCTTAGAAAAATAAATTTCTTTAGCTCTTGGGGCCAGCATATTGAATCTGTGTTTTTGCTTTTGTTTTGTTAATGATGCAAAGCCTGCTTGTCTCCCCTGGTCTCCTACGCTGTAGATATCTTTGGTGATCACTGCAGTGTTTGCAGTTGTGGTGTATCGCCTGGTGGTTATGGAACAGTTTGCATCATTCAAGTGGAATTTCATCAAACAGCACTGGCAGTTTGCAACATCTGCTGCTGCTGTCTGTATCAATTTTGTAATCATCATGGCCCTGAATCTTGTAAGTGTTTACAACTTTTCAATATGTAGAGGATAGAGGTTTATGTTTCCTTTACACTTAGATTGTCTTTACAGGAAGCCAAAGTAAGACCAAGCCACATCTCTGGCAAAGACAGTTCAGTTTAGCAGAAAATATTTTATCTATGTGGTTCAGATGATAGATGCCCTTAAATTAAACTACATGATAGTTGTACTGTCAAAATTTCTTTCCCTTTGAATTTATAGTTTGATTAGTGATACCCTCATAAGTGTCTAGCATGTGCTAGAAAGGTGCTATATTCCATTCATTCAAGTAAGAGATTATTTGGATTAGAAAACCATGCCAACAAACTCAGACTCAGAGGAGAATTTGCTGGAAAGACAAAGGAAAATCTGTTTGAAAGTAAAAGCTTATTACCTCCAAGGCCTCATGTGAAGTAGAATACAGTCAGACAGCTACTCCTTTTTTCTTTCTCTGGGACTAAGCATTTCCCTTTCCCTTTCCCTTTCCCTTTTCCCTTTTCCCTTTCCCTTTCCCTTTCCCTTTCCCTTTCCCTTTCCCTTTCCCTTTTCCCTTTTCCCTTTTCCCTTTCCCTTTCCCTTTCCCTTCCCTCTCTCTTTCTTTCTTCTGTTGTCAGTGCTTCTATTTGTGTGTCTACTCTGTTCTGTCAGGAAGATAACTACCTTTGCCTAACCATGCCCTGTCTTTCGCTCAAAGTCCAGTGTGCTATGGCATTGTTATACTTGTGTTATCTATCTTCTTTGGCTCTATATACATGACCATGTTGGTCAGCTTTCTGTAGTTTATTTAACATGGATCATCCAGTTATTTCAATGTGCAAATTTCTCAAAGACAACATCTGATTGGTTTAACATCACATATACTGACTTGTGAACCAATGTCTAGGGCAACATTAGGCCTAGGCCTACCTTTTCAGCAAGGTCTGTGAATGGGGTTCTATTTTCTCTGTGCCTGAAGACAGAAGACACTGATTGACACATTTAAGATAATATCTTTAATTCTTCCAAAAACACAATGCCAATATTCTCTCCATTAGGTAGATGAGGAAACTGAGATTCGGAAAGCTTAAATAACTTTCCCCAAATCATACATAGAGTAAGATAGTGTTAGTGCTAGTATATTGACATCGTGAGATAGTACCTGTCGATAGATTAGCAATACTCCAATAATGATGTTGATGTTATGTACAAGTAATAAGCACTTAGTTCCAAGTGTGGAATGACACTGATGTTACATACTTGCTTGAAGAAATTTAAGGCCATTTGGTATTTAACTTTAAAATAATCAGAGAAGGGCTTGAGAAAAAAGTGAACAGTCACTGTAATCAATGAGTAACTTTTAATACAAAGATGATAGTTAATATCTTCCACTGGAGTCTGCTTTCTTCAGGTTCATTTTAGTTTGTAGAAGGAGAATATTGTTTAGTGTATCTTCAAACAGACCATACAATATTTTAATTTATGCCCTTGGTTTAGAGATTAAAGTGAATAATAAAAACTGAAAAGAAGTACAATGCTAGTACTGGGAGGCTTATATGTTAGCATAGGTTGTTCATTGCTCAAAGCCACCACATTGAAGAGGACCATTCATCACATAACATTGTAGATTTTATACTTATGATAATACTCTTATGGTGGATAGTGAAAGATCTCATTTCTAACAAAATCAGTATATCGTAAGAGTTTTCCCATTGACTGAGGTTATTGTGGTTAGCCCCATTATCTGAGGAAAAGGCGGCTAAATAGCTGATGTGTTTAATTCTAGCTAACACTAGCAGTCAGCCAGCCTGATCTGATAGAATCCATTTCTTATCCTTAGTAAGTTGGTTGACATAAAAATGACTGGTCATAGTGCTGCTGTCCGTTATCCTACTGCCTAGAGGAGGAATAGGACCCCAGGCACAGTGAGGACTGCCTCATGGTTCAAGCACAGAAGCCCTGAGAGAAGCCATCAACTGCATCTGAAATGAAATGGGGGGCGGGGGCTGTGATAGTGGATCAGAGACTCAAAGGGAAGAAGAGAGGGGTGCTTACTCTAATGAGCCAAGAAAGAGCAGAAAGTGGGTTGTCATTTTAAGAAATTCAACCCACACGTGTACAGAAGCACAATTTCCACCTGAGGAAATTGTAAGAAGTGTCTGTGAAACATACATTTATGGAAGATTGAAGAAAATGCGGTTAGAAGAGTAGATGAGTGCCTAGCTGTGGAGCTCTCGAGTGGCATGTAATGAATTTAGACATCGTCTTTCCCCGCTGTGGGCAGTGGGAGCCATCCATGTGCGTGCTCCATTAGCCACCAGTCAACATATCAGATACGCTTATAGATGTAAAGGCATTAAAATATTAGACTTATTACAATGTAATTGCTATACTAATATATTTTCAAACTCTCAAGGGAAAAAAAAAATAATCTCCCTGGGGAGAAATGTGACTGATCAAAACTGCTAAAGTAAAAGAAGATATCCTGAGTAGATCATCAACCAAGAAGGAAATTGAGAAATAAACATTACAAACTAGTGATAGTATCTCATCTAAGGCCGGTATTAAAAAGACCTTCTTTTCCCTTTTAAATAAAAGATGATTTCCTGTTGTGTAAAGTAGTTCAGAATTTAGACAAGGATATAATGCTTTCTGAGCAAACATAAACCTGATTTTAAAGTTATATGTGGCAAAGATAGTATCAGAAATCAAAGTAAAGAGCAGTTATAGCTACACAGATAAAAAATTGCAAGTATATATCGAAGTGTTACCAGGAGTTACCTCTGAAAAGTACAATTACAGGTGAATTTTATTTTCTTTACATCTTGTCTAATGTTAAATGTATTTGCATTTTCTAGATTTTCTACAATAAGCTTATGTTCCATTTAAAACTAGGAAAGGACAGTATTTGAAATTAATTTCTAATATTCCATTTTAAAGAAATCATCAATAATGGTAGTCCAGGATTTATGTAGAGGATTCTTATGTTATTATTTAGAGTAGCAAAAATAGGAAAGAGACTCCTTAAATGACCAGAAAATAAGGAACTATTTATTCAAATTCTGTGGAGTATCATATAACCAACTAAAATGCCACTTTTAACATTTTTTAAGGACATGCAATTACATAAGATTAGATACAGTTTCACTTGATTCCCATTGGAACACACCTGCATTTTGAAACTATAAAGAATGACAATAAAATGTTAATAATGTTTATCATCTCTCAGTAGTGGGATAATATTTGATTTAACATAACATTTTCTGTTTATTCAAATATTTACAGTTAGAAATGTTGATGATCTTTTCTTTGGTCTTTTAAAATTCTTCAGACCACATCTGCATTTATATAAAGTCCTCACTCTTATTTCTTTAAATGTTATTTATTATGCATTCATAAATTTTTAAGCACTCAGAGTTATCTGTGAAAAGAGAAGCACACATATAAGTTGTCATATTATATCTTTTTATCAAATAAATGTTTAAAATATAAAAAAATTTTTGACATTTTAATCAGCTCATATAGAAATCATAACCACTATGCTAATTTTTACTGTTCTTATTTGTTCCTCTTTAATATCTTAATTTTCTTTTCTTTTTAAAGTCTGTGGTTTTTTTATCTTTTCCTAACTTTGACTTATACATTGTTATTGACATACAAAAACATTAAAAATATTAAGGAAAGTCACTTAACCCAAAATGTCACTCACCTCCCTTCCTACCATAAACTAATTGTGCCCATTGAAGGTAATCACTGTAAATGGTTTCATGTCTGCTTATTCCCCACCTGCCTTCAAAAGAGTACCCTGTGTTCCTGGGTTTGACAGTTTGTTCCAAAGACCTGCTGATCTTCAAAAACATCTTGAGTGAATTAATGAACTGGCCTGATATTTTCGAAGACGGAAAATATTTCACAGACAAGGAAGACGAAGAAGCCAAATGTGGTTAATTAACCTTTGCTTGGGCAGGCAAGCAAGCATGACCACTCCGGGAACAGAACCTCCAGGTCCAGGCGCAAGCCTTAGATCCCACCCAGGTTCTTTTTAGTAAAGTGAAGAACTTGTCATGATCAGATCTGCATTTGAAAAATATGGGCGCTTTTATCCTCAAACAGTTTCCATAGAAAAGGCACTCATATTGCAAAAATTGAAACTTGGCTGAAGTTTCCATTGCTGTAGCAGACTCTAGTTTTATATTATTCCAGTTGCTTCTTAATCACCAGTCCCTTAATCGCCGACTCTCTCCATTTCTAATCCCTAGCCTCAGGCACCCCCTTCTCTTGAATCACAGTTGACCCTCATATATGTAGTCCTCCTGGCATAGGGTTCACATACTGCTTGTTCTCACTAAGTCTCTACGTGTGATGAGGCTTAATGTATTCTTTCTTCCAAAGTAATGCACTTTACAAATAACGAAGACTGAACTGAATGGAGTGTATCTCTACTTACAGAAATAAGACCTACATAGAGAGGTGATGATAGCATTATTTTTGTCATAAAAACAAATCTTTTGAGACCCTCAAAATTTCACTTGTTCTACTTAATTAAAGACAAGGGCCCATGTAACTGCCTAGTGCTAAAACAATCATCCATCGTTGCTGGGAGCGTACAGGACTGACTTTTCTTTTTTAATTGAACTTATTGGAGTGACATTGGTTAATAAATTTATATATGTTTTAGGTACACAGTTCTACAGTACACCATCTGTATGTTGTATTTGTGTGTTTGCCACCCCAAATCAAGTCTCTTTCCATCACTATCCCCCCTTTATGCTCTCCTACCTCCTCCCACCCCGCTTTTCTCTGTCAGTCACCGTACTGTTGTCATGAGGGTTTTTTCCCCCCTAAAAGTTTATTTCTACTTGTTGGGCATTTTGGCACAAAGATTAAGGGATTATTGGAAGTGGCATAGACCATTAATACTTCTCTTTACTCTTACAACTAAGAAGGTTTTAAAATGGATTTCGCATAAAGGAAGTGAACTACAAAGCCAACTCAAAAATATGAAAAGAATGTTATATTCTTGAGATCTATCTCATCTGTGTCAAACAATAACGCCCATCTGAATTCATGCATTCCCTCCCTACTCAGGATGTTAAGACACTTCACAGATTACTAGACAGCCCTTCTGATTCACCTGAGCATGCAGGATTAATTTAAGGGCTTAAATGTGTATAGATTAAAATAATTAATATCAAAATGCCAGACTCTTTAAAAAACTTATACCACCAAAATGATTCACCTGGAAAACCAAATAGTCCTTGTCGGTTTCAAATCAACACTAAATGTACAGCTTTTTGTTTCTTAATATCCCCTTTGTGATCCTTATGCTCCCGTATTCCTTGAATAAGGGACTTGTCCTCAGTAAAAATATTCTATTAATCTAATACACTTTCCAGCTATAAGTCGTGAAATTATGACATGTAGGCATGGCAAAATAGTTTAAATCAGTCAAGTGATTTTTTCAAAATAAGGAACTTTCAATGTTTAACAGACACAGCCAGGAACCTTATGTCATTCTTCATGCATTTCTCTTGTCACTTTCATCATATCAGTGATTGTCGTCAGTTCTGCTTCTGTAGCATCTCTCTTCACTACTGGCTGCTCACCGTCCTGACCGCTGCTTGAGTCATTTCTAGCTTGGACTGGTGCAGCAGCCTTGTCTCCATTTTTTAACTCTTTCTTTCTTCTTAGCACACTACTGTTGGAAGGATCTTTCTAAATTGCAATTGATCATTTTATTTTGTACTTGAAACTGCTCCACGGGTTCCCATTGCCTCTGATATAAATTGTAGATTCATTATAAGGGAACGCGAGGCCCTCCATTACTGAAAGCCAGCCTCCCTTTATCTTCTTGTCTAAAATGCTGTCTCTCCCTCCTTTTCACAGGCTGCACGACAGCCACAAAACCACTCTGCTTGCTCCCTGGCATCCTGCTATTTCACAACACTGTCTCTGAGTTCACAGTGTTTCCTCTATCTTCTGTTTTTTTCTTTTATCTCCTTGAAGAATATCTCTTCATCTTTGAAGATTCCAGTTAAAGATCACTTCCTCCATAAAGTTTTCTTTCAATCCTGTAGGTAGAATTGAATAATCTCTTCTTTGTGTCCATTTTCCTCACAAGGTGTGTGGGCCTGTCTGTTCTCCCTCCTTATCAGATCCTCCTGGTGGAATGAAGCAGTCCCCCTTGTGCATACTTTTCTGTTACAGACATGCCTCTTCTGCCACTGTCCAGGCGTAAGCTCCTTATGAGCAGGAGCTGTAGCTTCCTCATGTTTGTATCTCCAGGTCTTTGCCTACTGCCTAGGCAATTCAAATTTAAAATATATTCTTTAAATAAATTTTAATTCTGTTATTCTCCAAATATCCTAGCATCTTGAATAGTGCATGTGTTCAGAATTATTTGTTATTGGAATTATATTTTCAGTGTCTTCCAAGTTTGCAGCACTTGTTATTTTCATTCAAACTAATAACCAAAGACTATATATTCTCTTAATCTTTAAAACAGATACATCATGGTATCCCTAAATTAATATTCAAATTGGGAGAAAAATAGGGGCTAAGATAATAAAAATTTGATTACAAGTTCATCTTAAAGATCATGAAAGTAACTTAATGATTGTTTTCTGTTCTTAGTATGCTTGAAATCACCTGAATCACTTGCAAAACTACAGATCCCAAGTTCCATTCAGGATCTTCTTTGTGGACTTAGGCAATCTACATTTAAAAAAATACAAGTGATTCTGACTCATTCAGTCCCTACAATAGCATTAGGAAATCAGTGATTCAAGGGATCTAAGGTAATTTTGATACATAGCCAAGAACAGATACCACATTTCCAAAGATAATTGAAAATAATTTAATCATAACCAAAACACTATTATTTTTAACATTCCTTTACGCATATAGCTAAAACCCCACAAAGCCAGAATTTGAAACCACAAGTTGCTCTTTGCTAATTCCATCCTTTCTCTTCTTTATTTTGACCAGAGGATTGTTATCTCAGGCAAGGTACCTGACAGTCTAAACCGTAGTTTCCTCTCTTGTAAAATGGGGATCATTAGACCTGTTTGATGGACTAACTTAAGTAATAGTATATATAAAACACTGCTTGGTACTGGCCAAATACTATGAATGGCACATATTTAAATAATTTTTTCTTTCAAACCCAGGGAGGGCAATCATATCAGTACTAGAGGCACAGCACCACTTAAGTATCATTTACTGATTGACAAGTCTATCATACTTTTTGGAGACCCTTCTGTAATCATTTGACTTGATAAATGGGTCAGGGCAAAGAATATTTTACAATCAGGATAATATTGGTGCTCATGAATTCAAGCTAATCTTGTCCTAAAATTTACTTGTGTATAGTATAGTTAAAAAAAAAAAAAAAAACCTGCACGGGAGATGGAATGAGACTATTATAATCAATGTAATCTTTCTCAAGATAATACTGTAGATCTTAGGAATAGATAGGTTTGAATCATAGGTAGGATAAATAATCACAGTAGTCCTATTGAAAGGACAGGCAGGAGAGATAAACAACATTTAGTGTCCAGCTACGTACCTTTTAATTTTGCATGCCAAGAAGCAAGATTATTAAAATCTAAAGAATAATTTGTAGAATCATAGGGTTATGTAGTAATATTTACATGCACACACATATACCCACAAACACATATCACCCTTCTGTCTGTAGCAAATATAATTTCCCAACTATATGTACTTGGAATATTATATGGTATGTTTCTTTCCTTGAGTTTGCATGAGTCATGGACAGAGCATGTTGGGGCAGGGAGAAGGTGGCAGAAGATGAAAAACGTCATAAAAATCTATTGTGCATGTGCCTTGCTTGCTTATAGATTCAACAGATTTGACTTATGAGTCGTTTCAAATAACTACCAAACCAGCTTTGTTCTTTAGGAGTGCAAATTTGCACAGTCTTTGTCATAGTTTGGAAAATGTTTTATCAATAGTAAAGTCAAGCTTCCATTTAGCCCCCCAGTATAGTTAAAAAAAAAAAAAAAAAGTGTATACTTTGGTAATTAGATCCCAGGTCAGCCATCGATTAGTTAAATGACTTTGGGAGTTTTCTCAGTCTCATTTCCTTTATTTATAAAATGTAAATAAAGATAGCTACCAAAAAAGACTTTGTTATTACAGAAATCAAATGTGACTGTATATATACACATATTTACAACACTTTCATATTGCTTGCATTGTGTATATATATGTAAAGCACTACATAGTTAAGTACATGCTTCTACTTAATTAAAAATGTAGCTACTTTGTGGAATACACTTTAGATGTTTCTTTGAATTTGTAAACAACAGCCTTTTCTAAAGAAAAGAATAATAGTAATACTTGTTCTCTTACACTACAGGCTTATGAAAAAATTGCTTACCTTCTCACTAATTTAGGTAAGTCTATTTTTCTTTATTTCTTAGTAAGAGAATATTTTATTAGGGCCTATCAGTCTATAGTTGATTTATGTACTTTAGTATTTTTAGTATCAACTTCAGTTATATACTTGTGGATAAAAATGAAAGAAGTGGGATAGGATGTTGGACTACATCACATAGCTATAGTCAATGTATGTAGTTATAAAATCTACTTACTAGAAATCAGCAAACCTGGTTCTTCCTACATTGGAGTGCTTTCCCCCCTACCTTTTCAGCTCTTTGGCTTTTTCCCTCCAATATTTTTTTTTTTCTAAGTATTTTACAGCATGTATACTATTTATTTGCTTGTTTTTTTTATTTATGTTTGTTTATTTTTCATGTATACAACTCAAAGGCAAAATAGTATTAAGAGACTTATAATGAAAACCTGTCCTTTACCACATTACCCATTCTTATTTTTTATGTCGTCAAGAGACTACATTTTGCCAATTTTATCAATTTATTTTGTATTTCATATTCTGTTTCTAAATAACATGGTTCTACTGGCATTCTTTCAGCTTTAGGAAGCTATTGCCTTCCCATCAAGAGGACAACTTAAGCCATAATGCTCCCTGCAGTGTCCTGTCCTGCACATACTTCCCCATCTGTCACCTGTATACACAGTTGTTATTTCTTCTCCTTTCCAAAGGAGGTGTATCAGCATTTTTAGCTAAATTAGTAATTAGTGTTCACATCATTGTGTCTATATAGCTGTTTTCCTACCTAAGGCACAGCTTGCACTATCATTGTTTCCTTTCTCTTTTTTTTACAGAGGAAAGGAGATGGGGAGAGAGAGAGAGAAACATCAATAATGAAAGAGTCGTCATTGATCGGTTGCCTCGGAGCCCGCAACCCGGGCATGTGCCCTGATCTGGAGTTGAACCGTGATCTCCTGGATCCTAGGTCCACGCTCAACCTCTGAGCCACGCCTGGCCGGGCTCATTGTTTCCTTTCTTATACAACCTTTATATTTTCATGAAGCACATTTTACCTAATTTTCTACATACTTTTCTTAATTTGTTCCAAACTTTCTGTCTCAGCTCTGAATTCTCTCGAAATACATTAAAAACTATCAAGAATTCTACTCATTTTATTTTCTTCTTAGAGTCATCCTCCCTTAACCCACTGTGTACTCATCTCAGTGGGTTGCCCTCTAGGCTTGGGGTCAGCCACATCCACACTTGCTTTCACCAGGGCTCTGGGAATTCCTTTGCCTTTATTTCTCAGTTGGATGCTGCTTTTGGGATCCTATGCCGCCATCTGTCTTGGCTTAATTCCTTGTCTTACTCTCTGGAAAGTGAATTTCTTGAGACCTTGTATGTCAGAAAATGTTTTGTTTTTTTTTTCCTATATTTTAACTTGATATTTGGTCCCCCAGTTTTGGGGACAGAATTTTTACTACAGAACTGTTTGAGCAGCATTCTGTTATTGTTTGAAGACTCACCAGATCCTAGGCATTGTACTAAACACTTCTCATTCATCATTTTGTTTTATTGTGATCACAATTCTGTGACAGTAGGATCCTTATTTTATGGATTAGAAAATGAGATTGTTAAATAAGTAGAATTTAAACACCACTTAACTGTGGTGGGGTAACTCTGTTACTCCACTGTAACATACTACTTCTCCTATAGTGTAGTTACAAGGACAAGTGATAATAGAAGGGACAATGTATACAGGGGACACCCAGGCCCTACTTCATGGTCTGGAGCTAAATGGTTCTATCTCTTGGACATCGTGTGACTACGGCAAGTTTTTGCCTGTCCCCATTCTTTCTCCTCCTCCTGCCCTCCTTCTTTCCTCTGGTCGTCCTCCTCTTTTTAAGCCTCAGTTTCCTTATCAGGAAGTTGAGAATGATAATAGTTCCCATTTCATCATTGTTGTAGGTTGGCTGCCTGACACATGACAAGTGCTCAATTAATGGGAATAATGTTTCACTGACCTGAGCTAAAGCATCTTCGATGAGTAATGGAGCACTTGAACTGGGTTGTCTCAAAGCATTCTTCTAGCTCTGATTACCTATATTCATTTTCTTTTAAAGTAATTTATACCAGATGACTGCAAATCTAAGAAAGTGATAATTAATAGTAGGAAGCAGAACAGTTTTTTCTGTGAGGAAATGTCTGCTCTCCTGAGTGCTCTCACTGGTGCCCACGAACAAGTCACTCTGCGGATGCCCCACAGACCCTCCTGTTTCTGGAACCTATCCTCTTTGGGCTTAAAGTTCCCTAGGACTTATGCCCTCTTTATTCTGTGATTGGTTTCTGCCTGTATTTTGGCCTAATTTTTTCTTAAATTGGATCCCATTTCATTTTTTATCTTTCTTAAATTCTTCAGTCATATTACAATATGTTAGATGTACATATATATGTTTCTGTCATTTATTTGGGTACTGGGTAGGAGCAGAGGCTTCAGTTCATGCTGCCATCTTTATTCCACCTCTCTCATCATTTTTTGTTTGGTATTGTTTTGCTTTGTTTTGCTTTAAGAGTCCTGGAACCACACCATGTGAGAGTTGACAGGGTTCTTAAAATCGTCTCATCTAAATTCCTCATTGCATAGATGATAAAACTTATTGCAGAAAATGTGAAGAGACCTGCCTGAGATGACCAGCAGTTGGGTGTAAAGCTGAGATAAGAGCTTAGCCCTTCTGAGTGATGCAGCCCTCTTTTCTCTAAACCCGTTCACTTAGATCTGCACGCAAAATAGTCATCCTTCAAAGAACTCTGTGGATAATTCAAGCCCTTATATTGAACATAGCCAGATCGGGTGAAAGATTGATTTAATATTTATGGTTATTTCTAAATGACCGTAATAGAAAGAATCCTGAAAACCTTTATATATTAATAACAGGCATCGTATTTTCGTAGCTGTGGGGAAAATCTGCAGATTGACCCATTGGATCTTTACATCAGTGCTATACAGCAGATAGTATCATTCACATTTTACAGGCATTTTACTGAGTGCCTCACAGAACTAGTAAACGACTGAACCAGAACTTGAACATGGGTGTCTGATTCTGTACCTACATCTTTCCTCATCCACCTCATCTATGTAAACACACCCTATGTTCCTTTTAGAATATCCTCGAACAGAGTCTGAGTGGGAAAACAGCTTTGCCCTGAAGATGTTCCTCTTCCAGTTTGTCAATTTGAACAGTTCTATCTTCTATATCGCTTTCTTTTTGGGGAGGTAAGTCAGCTTTGTACACATCATGTTTATATACTGAAAAGATTGTCAACAGTTCCATTTCCAATTTGTGAACAAAGGTGGCACTTTCTTATTCCCAGCCTTGGAAAACTGGGCTAATCTGTCTTCACATATCTCAATCAAGAGATTTCAGTATAGTACTTTAGGCTGCCACTACCAATTAAAGTTGACATAAAAGAATAAAACCTATATTCCATACGTGGGTTGAATTAAGACTGTCCTGTCATCAGTAATGGTTTTGTTAAATAAGAAAATAATTTCTGACTAACCCTAGGTTACAGTTCTTTAGTGATGAAGCTTCTACCGATCATGTTCATGTTTTTTTCGTATTTTGGCTGCAAAATACGGAAACAAATCAAATTAAATTACTCCTTCTGGTTTGCCATATGATTAACACTCCAGCCAGTGCCATGGAAACATTTTAAATTAAATTACTTAGCCCATTATTTAATATTCTTTAACTAGGTTAACCAGACATTAAAACTCTACAGGTAAAAGTGGAAAAATCCATTCAGTTGGTTTGTCTGTACTTTCTCAACCCATTGGCATTGAATTCCCACATTACTTTTTCCTTTTTACGTCAGGTGCTCTGATGTGTAAGCTTGGCCTAAGTCAACCATTTAGGAACAAGTTGCACCAATGAACATTCATGTCTACCCACACATGCACTTGTGATGTGTTAGATGTTCTTCAGTCAACCCACATAAATGCTAATGAATTAAAATGGTTTTTTACAGATTCGTAGGCCACCCAGGAAATTACAATAAACTTTTTAACCGGTGGAGACTGGAGGAAGTAAGTAACCTTGTCAGGGTGGATTTGGGGATATGCAAGGATGTGGGCTAATGACTATGGGAGGAAAGGAGGAGGGAAGAGGGAGAATGAAGTTAGGTACAGGGAATTTCAGGCCTGCTGAAGAGCTTACATTGAGAAAGCTTAAAACTTTCTAAGAACATAAGCTTTATATTATAGAAAACTGGACTCATATGCTAACCTTGCTACTTATTAATTATTTGCCCTTCATTTAACCTCTCTGAATATCTTTCTCATCAGTAAACTGGCAGTAGTAATACTTAGGTTGCAAAGCTATTTACAGATAAGAAATAATTTCCATAACAGATTTAGTACAACGCCTGGCCTGTGGCAGGTACTCTATAAATTGTAGTTGATACTTAATGCTTTGTCTCCACAGCTACCCAGGTCTGTTGGCCGTAGACACACTCAGGTCATTCAAAATCCCATGTTTTCAGGAAGTCTCCAGATCAAACCTGCAGTTTTCTCTCATAGCCCAAAAGAATGACTAAATCTACTAAAATGCTTTTCATCTACCCTATTTGGGAACCAATGCTTACTTTTTTCCAGGAGTGTCCAGCTGGAGTTAACAAGGGCAGTGTGGGGAATGGAGTTGCTACAGCAGGTAGATCTATATCTTGATGCCACCAGTAATTTTGTTTAATTGGATATTCCTGGGAAATTATTGGATGTCATGATTCTTCTTTGAAAGTCCCAAGGAAATAATTATAATACTGGTGTCAGGAAAAATGTTTTATAACCATCCTAGGCATTTCCCACGATACACATGACACAGATAGAGGCCATATTTTCAACAAAGGGTTATTTATTTTGAGAAAAATCAGTGAAATGAAAAATGTAGATTTGTGATAGGCCCTAAAATCCTAGAAGTGTAGATATAAAAAGTATATATAATGGAAGATAAGAATTGCCCTCTGAATTCAGTCATACAACAAGCATTAACACATTTCTATTCTAGGCCTCTGCTAGGTATTGTGGGGCATACAAATGAAGTCTCTTTCCTTTCTTTGATGTTAATAGTCTTGAAGAAAAGAACATAACCAGGATATGTAACAAATATTTTGTCTTTTGAGTCTGATAGTCTACATTCTAATTCTGTCCTACCCAAATACCTGATCTTAACTATCTCTAAGTGTCAGGTTCTTTTCTTTTGTAAATTGTGATATGAATGGCTATTTCAGTAATATTGGTGATAAGTGGACTAAATTGGATCATGCATGTAAAACCCTTGGCACAAATAATGGTAGCCGTTATAAAGACAGGGAAAAAGTACTGTACTTAAATTTAGAACATTTATAAACAGCTATCCTGAACTTTCCTCATTCCATGCTGTATAATATCTCACATAAGATTTTATCTAAAGCTACATACAACGTTAATCATAGCTAATTTTTAATGAGGACTTACTGTATGCCAGCATATTCCAGCAGTCGTTTCTAAGTCTTCTACATACATTAATGCATCTAATTCTCACAAAAATTCTGCTATTACACTCATTTTACAGATGAGGAAACAGAAGCTTAAAGAAGTTATATAATTTGCCTCCAATTACAGAAACATTCATTGATGAAGTCAACCATTTGATACCAGTTTGATCCAGACAGCCTCACTTCAGAGTCTGTGCTCTGAACACACTTTGCTTTCCAGCCACCACTGGGACAGTGTACAGGCCCAATCGAGAACTTAATGGAAACTGATTTTCATGAGAGATTGCTGAATGACTGTTGGCTCACACATGTAAATTGGATTTAGAATAAACATACTAAAGTGGGTAAAGTGAAAGGAACATGAGTATTGGAGTCTGATAGTCCTGTCCGCTACTCAGCTTCATCATCTACACCATGAAGGTGCCAACACCCACCTCACCAGGTCTTCATGAGGTGAAAATGAGAAACTTACATGGAGGCACCCAGCTTTGGGTGGTCCATGGTCATAGGATTTTGAGTGATGCAGTGGGGATGAAAGCCTGGGCCTCCTACATGCTCATTCATGCCCTTTTACTCATTCTGAGTATAGGCCCTTTTAACCAAATGAATTTTGGTGTATAGAGGGCTAGATTTAGCTCAAGGGAATCATTATTTGAGGGAAGCATACCCACAAAAACTGTTGGATAACTTTCTCTGCCCTATAAATCACAAAGTCATCAAGGCTCAATTTCAACAAAGTTATAAACGGTCTGTCACCCAGCCTTCCTACTTAGCTTACTGTTGATTCAATCATAGCAAACACATTTTGTAAATAGAATTTATCTTTAGCATTATGTGAAAAAGCAGTGGATTAGGGTGCAATGAGACTTAAGGCTTTTATTCCCACACCACTAGCCAACATTGCAGGACCTTATACAAGTTAATTTGCCTCTTCAAGGCAGAAATGAAGAGTTTCAGCTTGCAGCTATGATCTGTGATCTGCTTCTGTAGCTTAGTAATTATTCTGCCTCAGACATTCTACCCACCCACTTATCGCATATATGTGGCAGAGTTCAGAAGGTCCTAAATTCATCCTGGAAAGAAGGGGCATGCTTGGATGGGTGTGTTGAGACTTCTCCACACAATAAAAAATACCGCTGACAAACCCTCTCTCTGGCTCAGATTAGGGAGTTTTAAATTACTGGGCTGAAACTGGAAAATCAGGCTCTTCGTGTCCTAATTATTTGTTCTCTTTGAAGTCCCACTGGTACTGATTTGATAGAAATAGAAACTGTGGATCAAAGCTGTAGAGTCTGTCATCTTTATGAGCAGGACATGAACCCATTTCCGAAGAAACAGACCCATGTTTTTCTACCAAAATGTCTTCTATAGTGCATAGTTTTCAAGCAAAACACATTGATTGCAGTTTTCATTGTAATCACATTTTTGTTTGTGTGTGTTTCTAATGCTAACTTTTTTTAAGAGATAGATTTTTTTTCTTAATTTTTATTGAATTTATTGGGGTGACATTGGTTAATAAAATTATAGAGGTTTCAAGTGTGCAATTCTGTAATACCTCATCCATATATTGTGTGTTCACCACCCAGAGTCAAGTCTCCTTCCATCACCATTTATTTCCCCTTTACCTTCTTTGACATACCCTCACCTGCTTTCCTTCTGGTAATCATCATACTGTAGTCTGTGTCTGTGAGTTTTGGGGGTTTTTGTTGCTTAAGCCCTTCACCTTTTTCACCCAGCCCCCCAACCGTTTTCCCCTCTGACAGCTGTCAGTCTGTTCTCTGTATCTATGAGTCTGTTTCTGTTTTGTTAACGGTCATACCACCCTGAATGCCCTCAGTGTCATCTGATGCTAACTTTTATTGAACATCTAAAAATGCAAAGGATCACAGAGAAGGCAAATTTAGATCATAATGACAAACTATTTTTAGGGCATATTTTCATCACTTAAAAAGATGGTGTAATATCTTTAGGTACTCCCTCACCAGGAGGTAGAACTTAACACCTGCTGCCATCTTGAGAATGGGCTAGACTTAGCAACTTACTTCTAAAGAAAAGTCTAGGGAAAAGGAAACATGAGTAACTTTACATTAGAAACATCTGGAAAACACCACGTCAACCACAAGTGATAAAAGCTCATATCAGTAGTGATGTCTTTTGAACATCATGCAGCCCCTGATGGGATGGGATGAAAATGACACTTTACTTCTGTGTTCTGCCTCCATCCCCAAAACACATAATACCAGTCTAAACATGTGAAAACATTAGAAAAGCCCAGATTGGAGATTTTTTCACAGGATACTTGTCTAGCAGACCTTAAATCTATCAAGAATATGGAAAACTCAGAGACTGTCTAGATAGAAGAGACTGGGGAGACATAACAAATAAATGCAATGGGATATCCTGGGTTGAGAGGATATAAATGAAAAAAACTGAAATCTAAATAAAATCTAGAGTTTAATTAATAGCAATGCACTAATGTTGGTGTCTTACCTTTGACAAATATACCTTGATAGTGTTAGGGGCAATGGAGGGAATTGGGTACGAGGTATATGGCAACTCTTCGTATTATCTTTACAAATGTTCTACAGATTTAAAATTTTCTAACATAAAAAGCTTATTTTTAAAGACTATGTTATAAACTTTTTGCCACAGAATTAAGTATTTGTCTGTCTCCTGTTAATAGATATGTAGTATTCCAGGACATTCATTAAAGGTGATCATGCCTAACACCAAACTTGACAGATAGTAAGCTCTCATTAAAAGCTAGATTTGTTGTCATTGCTGTTATAATTTGGATTAAAATTCAATATAAATCCTGAAAACTCCCCTATCAAGTGTCCTCATCGATGCTATTTCTTTGTTTTTATTCTCTGTATGCACTGAGATAGTACGACCTGGCTTTAGAATTTGCTTTACAATTTGAAGGTGGGGATGTTCCAGCCAACTGAGAAGAGCAAGGTCATTACTATCCTTGTTCTGTTTCAGTGTCATCCTAGTGGCTGCTTGATAGACCTCTGCCTCCAGATGGGAGTGATCATGTTTTTGAAGCAAATATGGAACAACTTCATGGAACTGGGTTACCCGTGAGCACTTTATTTTTAAAATTGCCTTATATATAATCACAAAGAAGACAGATGGAGGTAGTGTGAATAGTTCTTAAGAATTTGGACTTGGTAGTCAGACAGATGAGGGTACAGTTCTCACTGTTGCTCTTCACTGAATGCGTGACTGTGTGTATGTTAGTAAAATTTTCTAAGCCTCCGTTTTTACATTTCTACAAGGGGATCAACAGCTGTATCTACCTCAAGAACAGTTGTAAGGACTAAAGGAAATAATAGATGTAGAGTAACTGGTATTCTGTTCAACACATTAAGATCCTTGTTATTCTTAAAACATTATTGATAGTACACGTTCTTGAGGATAAAAATAACTCTGATTTATTTTGGCTATCAAAAGACAAAGAGCATTGTTGTGTGTTAGAGAGTCCACTTCCACACCTCCTTCCCCACACAAAAGAAGAAAGCAAAGCCAAATTCATGGATGGATGATGTTTGTACTCTTTGTTACACACACACAAACACACACACACACAATCATTAGAAAAAGATCAATTGTGATAACACCAAATCAATGCCTGTCTTTTGTCCCTGTAGATACGTTTTAACTGTGTGTGAAATGCTGACCAACAAGGACGCTCTATCCCCACTTTTATATCTGTTAACCAGGTTACCCTGCAGAATACCGTAAAATACAATATATTTTAGACATCTTGGTATAGAAGGTTTAGAGCCCAATCAAGGTTAAAAACATGACTATTCCTCAGAATTTCCTAAGGGGGAATAACTGGTTAGTTGATAAATGATACAAATAGTTTAGTATTAGTCATCAAATTGTACCATGATTCTTTCTCCCTACTGGCCCACAAATTATATCAGGACATTTCTCAGCAAAGTCCTTGGGGCTGGAAAGGTGATACCCTGAAATTTTCCATAAAGTATTGTATTAAATTACAAGCAGTCTTAGAGCACAGAGTATGAAATTATCGAGACTGTTCAAATTCCTTCTCTGCCCCTTGCTAAAGATGCTTATAATTTACTTGACGTCACTGAGATGTTATTTTTATTTGTAAAATAAGGGATTTACAAAGATTAATTGAGATGACCCAATGCTCATTAACCAATAAATGACAGAACCCTTTTGTGAAGAGATTTTTATACAGATCCTCAATATTCATAACAGATTAAAATGAATCTCTTCTAAATGAAGAGAGAATGGGGGATGGAGGGTTGGGGAGCCTATTCTATTCTTCATATCCCTTTCTGTCCTGGCTCATCTCTTTGAAACATAGGGTTTTGGAAATATCATTGAAAAAATACCTGAGAAAATTAGGGATTAAGTGCCTAGCACAGGATCTGACATGCTGTGAGCACTTCACAAGCACTATCAAGATGGTGTAGTAACTCATGTGAAGAATGAGTCTATTGTAATCATTATCCTGGACTTCTTTACAAACTGTGCACTTTGGACAGCACATTTTTACCTTGGCCTTGTCCAGTGGTCAGCCTGGATTATGCATATCAAATACCAATGGTACCATGGCAAGGAGCATCCTATTACTATTTGTCCAACAGTTGGGTTTAAACTTTTGAACCATAATTCTCTTTCTTCAAATAAAATCTTAAGCAGAACTGAAATACATCAAAGAAACAGGCAGATCTGCCTCAATTCCAACCTCCATCCCCTTTCTCATTCTCCTGGGGCCCCAGAGACACCCTCCATGGGGTGTGCATTGAAGCATGCCTGATGTCCTGGTCTGCCTCCAGTTCTTCCAACCCCCGCTGAAGTGCTGGGTCCACAATTAATGAAAATTAAGAGTTGTCTACTGTTCACTGAGTCCTGTGAAATTTACCTCATCTTAGAGATAATTTTCATCTAACTGAAAATAATGCATTACCCAAAAGTCCAAAATATATACATACTGGGATATTTCTGAGTCACAAAATTTCAAGACCACCTCTGGGCTTGGGAAAGAGTGTCTCTACTTTCTTTTCGAATCTGAAAAATCAAACTCAGACACACATCCATTGCCTGTAAATTATTGTTCCCTGGTAACAGAATGTAATCACTGATGCCCAAACCCTTTGCTTTATGAACTCAAAGAAGTGATTTGCCAAAACTCACACACCTGATGCATTCCAGGGTGGGGACTGGAACCTACATGTCTTGAAACCCTATCTAGGTCTCATTTTTTTAAATGTGGAACTTGCTTTTACTCATGTTCAGAAAGCGTAGCTCAGAAGATTTGGAGTTATGAGAAATGAAGGGCTCAGATGCAATCAAAGCAGGTGGACAGGAGTTTTAAGTATTTATATAGATAGCATGTGAGAAACAATCGTAAAAACAGATGTTTGTCTAATCAATATCAGGAAGCATCTAAGTGTGTGGGAGGATCAATATAAATATGTAGATGTTGATAGGGTCCAGGAGAGTTCTGGAAGGCTGAGGCCTCTTATCCCATGCTAAATCTGAACGATGAGACCATACAAGTATCTTCAGTTCCCATGAATGCTTAGTGTAATCCCAGGGCCTACATTAAGTTGATGTTAATACACAATAAATTGCTCACCAAATATTTAAATAAGAGCTCAGAAGCTCTTTTGTCTGTTCTGTGGTGTAGGCTGATCCAGAACTGGTGGTCACGACATAAAATCAGGAGGGGAATCCAAGATGCTTCTATACCTCAGTGGGAAAATGACTGGAATCTGCAGCCCATGAATATTCACGGACTGATGGATGAATACTTAGAAATGGGTAAGGAGAGAACCTTCTGCAGGGCTCTCTGGCTTCCTGATACTATTTTTCTATTTCACATATACTTTTATTCAAGAGAGAAAGCCATCTCTCTCCTTTCTAACCCATGCAATCTGAAACACATCTGTACTTTTCTCCCAACGGAACTAGATAAGATATGAGAACAGTGCCCTTGAATGTCTACCACATTTTGTCCTCATAATATTTGTCAGCCATAATATTTAACCAAAGTGAAGATCCATCGTAAATCACCTAGCTTTTTTTTCTTAATATCTTTATTGACTTCAGAGAGAAGGGAGAGAGAGAGACATCAGTGATGAGAGAATCATTTATCGGCTGCCTTCTGCATGCCCCCCACTGAGGATCAAGCCTGTAACCGGGGCATGTGCCCTGACTGAGAATCAAACCATGATCTCCTGGATCCTAGGTCGATGCTCGACTGCTGAGCCACACCCAGTTGGTCCAGTCACCTAGCTTTTGAGCAAATATTTTAAAGAATAAAATAGAAGCAATTTTTATGTTAAGAAATGTACTATCCCAACCAAATAAAGTAATAATCCTTTCTCACAATAAACTTTTGCACAGACCAAGTCCGAGTCTTTGCTTCTTCGAGAATCATACTTATATTAAGAAAATAGAGATTCCCATTCTAACTGTTACTGTGTGTTATCTGGACATTTGCTTTTTCTCTGACCTTCAGTTTTCTCATCTATTAAAAGGGCAAGATTCTGTCTCTTGGGTCCCTGTTAGAGCTAAGCATTTTCCAAGGCCTCCTCTTTGATTTCTTTTTTTGTCTTTACTCTTTCATACTGCATGATATAGAGGTGAAAAGAATGTAGACTTTCAATCTACTGAGATCTGAGTTTGAGTGTTGGGTTTAACTTTTTAGCTGTCTACCCTTTAGCAAGTTTACTTAACACGTATGAATTTTCTCAACTCTAAAGTGGGATATTTACTTTTGTAAGGATGTTGAAAAGATTAAGGGCAATTTACATAAATCACTTAATATTGCACAATGAAGGCATTCAATAAATGATACTGTTTATTTTACTAATTTTCTAATATTCTCCCTTTACAGTTTTGCAATTTGGTTTTACCACCATATTTGTTGCGGCTTTTCCTCTGGCGCCTCTTTTGGCTTTGTTAAACAACATCATTGAAATCAGGCTGGATGCATACAAATTTGTCACCCAGTGGCGGAGGCCTCTGCCGGCCCGAGCAACTGACATAGGTAAGATTCAGGAATTAAGTGTTCTTGGCATTGCTAAGGCCAAGAGGTGGCTAGATCTTACTTAGCACCAGGAAGATTTCTAATGCTGGGATCCTTTCCAGCCCTAACAAAACTGATACCAAACTAGGTTTACTTTCTTGTATTTTTACTTTTAAAAGGTACTTGACAAAGATAAAGGCAAACCCCAGAGCAAATACATGTATTTCAGACTTTACCCAGTGATGTAGAACTTGAAGATAATTTTGTTATTTTTATTATTTCAGTAAGTTCTAATTAGGCTTTAAAGCAACTGTGTCATGTCTCATTATTACAGACATGATCTAATTCCTAATGATATTTTAATTTTCAAATCTTTCAAGATAGAGGCCTACCTTCCCTCTGTGGAAAGCATTCAACAGCTATTTTATCTGTAGTGAAGTACTAGACCCAGAAATTAAATAAGAGAGCTGTGGTTCCAACATAAATTAAACATTCTTTTATTTTTATTTGTTTATTTTATTCACTATCTTTAATATTTTTCCTACTAGGTATCTGGTATGGAATTCTTGAAGGAATTGGTATATTGGCCGTGATCACCAATGCGTTTGTAATTGCTATCACGTCTGATTACATCCCACGTTTTGTCTATGAATACAAATATGGCCCCTGTGCAAGTCATTTCAGATATGGTGAAAAGTAAGTTTGAAATTTACACATTCTTCTGATATATTTTATGTTTGCAAGTAAAATGGGAACTTATTGGGAAGTTTTGTTCTGTGACCATTAAAGGCAGTGTTTCTGACCATTGCACTTATAATGTGTTTATTGGATGAAATCAAGCAAGATAAAAAGAACAACTGTTTTTCAGCAAATAATTTTAGAGTCTCTCTATGTTTTCACTTGGAAATGCATCACTGACCTCAAAATGTTTTTTAAAATGTTATTATGTATTTAGAAGTCAAATTTAGAACTGGAAGAGACCTTAGAAATCATTACAATCTTTTGACTTTGTAGACTGGGAAATTGAGGCCCACACTGGTTAATGAAATTGCTGAAGGGAATAAAGCTAGTTGGTGGGGACATAGACCATCTGAAGGAACTGTCAGCTATTTGACTAGAGATTTTTTGAAAGGAATTTATAGGGAGCTGTCCTGTGCATAATAGGATGTTTAGCAGCAGCCTTGGCCCTAACTCAGTAGATACCAGTAGCAACCTCTCTAATCCCCAAGTTGTGACAATCAAAAATGTCTCCAGATATTGTCAGATATCCCCTGGGGAACAAAATCACCCAGTTTAGCTCCAGTGCTTCTGGGGCTATGGGTTGTTCAGATCTTTCCTCCTTGAGTGCAGGTATTAGGGGAGAAGGCAAGAGACTGGACTTGGGGAACAGAGAGAAATTGGAGTTTTAGCAGGGTATTAGCCTTAGGTATGGAAGTAGTGATAGGAAACAAAGTAGTGATAGGAGAAGCTGTTTCTCCTTCTTCCTTCAGGTGGAGTTTGGGCACATGTCTAATCTAGAGGCAGGACGTGTGCCCCACCAGGCTGAGCCCTGGTTTAGGACGAAACCAGACCTTAGATCTGCTGAGGAACTGACATTTCTCAGAGCCCTAAAATGCCTTTCTGAACATAAACATTTCTATTTTTCAAAGAGACGTAATAAAGGCATGAGATTTTATTTAATATTTCAGAGTATTTTCAAGGGATTTTAACTTGAAGTCAAACACACTAGGTTCAAGTTCTGACTTTGCCTCTTACTCAAAGGTACATCATCAATCTGGTCCTATGATTAAGAAATGATGTCTGAGGTAACATTTTATGCACTGTAAAACACCATGTAAATATAAAGTGGCTCTTGTATTAATAGTGAAAAATAAAAAAATATTTTTCTTAATTCAGAATGCTCTAGAAGCAGATTTTAAGGCTTTAAAATATGTAGACATATTTAACAGCCCTCTTCCTTAGAAGCATTATTTGCTGGCGTCTTTACTGCCACCTAGAGGTAAAAGAAAATGAGTTTAGTTGGTACTTTCAGGTATTTAGCAGACACTCTTTTATAAGATGCACAAAACTATCATCATTTTAAGGAAAATAATTGACAGTATTTGTTACCATTAAGGAAGTTCAAGTTTTGAAGTGAAAATTAGAATTTTGAATAACTTTTATCTACCACTGTGAGCTTGAAAGCTTTCCAGAACTTGTAGATTATTTTTTCTAATAAAAATCAGTGATGAACCTCTCCCCACCCCCCCAACNTATTGTCAAAATATTACAGATGTCCACTTTTTTCCCCATTGACCTCTTCCACCCTGCACCCACCCCCTTGCCCCAGTCCCTCATCACACTATTGCCTGTGTCCTTGGGTTATGTATATATGCCTATAAATGCTTCAGTTAATCTCTCCCCACCCACCCCCACCTTCCCTCTAAGATTCATCAGTCTGATCCCAGCTTCCATGTCACTGAACCTATTTTGTTCATCAGTTTATTAAGTTCTTTGGATTCCACATATAAGTGATCATGTGATGTTTGTCTTTCTCTGCCTGGCGTATTTTGCTTAGCATAATATTCTCCAGGTCCATCCATATTAACCAAAGAATTTATATGCATAAACCAAGGACACAGACAGGAGTGTGGTGAGGGACTGGGGAGGGGGGTGACTAGGAGGTGGAAGGGGTCAATGGGGAGAAAAGGAGACATCTGTAATATTTTGAACAATAAAAAAAAATCAATGGTGATGTTAATATTCCAAATATCAACATTTGGAAGATCTGTATTTTTGAGGGAACAGATATTTTCCAATGACCCATATTTGATGTTATGAAATCACTTACGGGCAAAAAGTACATTAAAAGTTCAAAGTAGACCTATAGATTTTAATATAAATTACATATGAAAACTTGATTGATACGTTTAGATTCCACACTGCAGTTAAACTGAGAAACAACCAGATGTAGAGCTTTGGTGTATTATCAAAGAAAAATGTCAACAATTATCTGAAATAGTATTAAAATAGTCCTCATTTCCCCAACCATTTATATTTTTGAGGACAGATTTTCTACTTACTCTCCATCCAAACATGTTGCAACAGATTTAATGCAGAAACAGATATGGCAATCTAGCTGTCTTCTATTAAGATAGGTATTAAAGGAATTTGCAAGCATGTAAAACAATGGCATTTTTTTCACTACATTTTTTTCTGTTGGAAAATATAGCTATTTTTTTCTTTTAAAATGTGTTATTTCTATTTATAATGGACTTGATAGTTATTTAAAATTAATTATTAGAAAAATATTGTCTAAATTTCTCACTTTTAATTTCTAATGTGTTAAATATCAGTAGATATACCCCTAAGAATAAAGGTCTTTGAGATTGCATGTTTAAAAATATAAAGGGTACCTGAGACCAAAGATTTTGAGAATTATAGGCCGAGAGAAAGTTATTTAGTCTCTATAAACCTTAGTTCTTTAATTTACATGATGGAGATTAAGAATATATATGCCTAAGGTTATTGTAAAAACCCTGACCACAATTTAATATCTAAACCCCCGGGGTAGAGATTTTTGCCTGTTTGCTCACTGTTGAATACCAAGCATCTAGAATTTTTCTAACAAAATGAGGTTTTTAATAAATATATATTGAATGAGTTAATAAGTAAATCACAAATAAACATGTTTATTTATTGGCCACTTAATTATAATTAACTAAATAGTATTATATCCATATTTATAAAACATTTATAGAGTTTTATTCCATAGGAAGTAGTTACCCCAATGCCTAGTGCATAGTAAACAGTTAGTAAATGTAAGCCAAATGAAAGTGTAAGATAGAAATATTGGGGAAAAATGTCATGCAAGAGTCTGTTTCTTTAATGACAGATGTAATGGGAGTGAGGGAATAGAATCAGAGAGCTGAGAGGCTAGGAATTTGTAATTAGAATGAAAAGAAGGTTGGCACTTATTAAATCCTGTCATTTATAATGAAGACATTGGACTAGAAATTTATGAATCTCTGAATCACATGATGCTTTTCTTTTCTCCCAGTTGTCTAAAGGGATATGTCAACAATAGCCTATCCTTCTTTGACCTGAGTGAGCTTGGTATGGGAAAATCTGGTTATTGCAGGTACTGAGTTATAAATTACAGTTACCTCTTCTTCTTGCTTTCACCATTCCATCTCTTCCCTCTACATGTTCATGAGATCATTTAAACTGTCATTTTGGAGTTTTGACAAATCAGGAACATTTGGGGCCTCCACAATTTGATCTCTGTTCTTCAATTTTTATTTTATTTTTTGTGGATTTTAGATACCGAGACTACAGAGGGCCCCCTTGGAGTTCTAGACCCTATGAGTTCACCTTACAATACTGGCACATCCTCGCTGCTCGGTTGGCCTTCATTATCGTGTTTGAGGTTAGTCACAAACTGATAAAACAATTATAGGTAAACGCTTTTCTAATTGAAATATTAGTTGCTTCTTTGAAGTTAAGTTCCCCACTGACTTCCAAGAAAGGACTTGAGTGTGTCCCAGTAAAAGGTTCAGACACAATGAAACCACTGTAACAAGTACAAAACAAGAGCTGAATAGTGTAAGAAGGTAGGTTAATGGGTATTTGTACCAGAAAACTAGGATAAAGGAAGCTACTCACAGTTAAACTGAAAACTTCGTTTTGTGCCTCCTAGCAACCAATTTAAAAAGAGAAGGATGGTTTCATCATCTGATAAAATAGTTCATATCTATTCATCAGGGTGAAGAAACTTGCTTTCTGAACAGTCACCTCTAATCACAGTTGATCATACGTATTTGTACAAGGGACACTGCATAACTTAGTATGCCTGAGAACACTTTTATAGCAAGTGCATAGATTCTGATGATCAGAGTCATGCAATAATGTTAGACTGTAGTCTCATGAAGAAATTTTGGAGAAGCTACAGAATTACTGCCTTAAACCAGCAGCCAGCTTGATATAGTGAAGAGCTTAGCACTGGAATGTATTATCTATTGTCTGAGGTACCACTGAGGGCTGTCGACAAACTTTTCATGCATCTGTTTCTATGGCCAAAATTATATAGAGAAAAAGATAGCGAGGAAATAAACTCCTGACCTGCTTTTCTGTGGGAAAATCGGACCTGCTTACTGTGACCCACTGGGCAGCGACATTTCCTGGGGCACACAGTGCAAGCTCAGTTAAAGTGCCTTGCATTCTTCCTTCCCACATAGAGAGACTGTTGTCACAAAGCCCTCTAGGTAAAAGGGTTATTTTCCATAGATCATCATAACTCTATCAGTATCAGACTTTTTTCTTTTCTGAGAAACTGAAAGATCTACACTTCTTCACGGGAAAAAAAATAGGTTGCATTTATGATTATAGTAGGTAATAAGAAGTGCTGACACTCATGTAACCCTCATACATGCTTCTAAGAGGTACTGTTGTTACCCCTGTTTTAAAGGTGACACACAGAGAACCTGGGGGATTTGCATAAGGTTACACGGCCGTGTCAGAGAAGGGCGCAGACACAGGCAGTCTCGTTCAGCACCTGTACTTTAACCTCAGACATACTGCCTTTTGATTTTTGTTCCTGATTTTTATATATAATACTTTTGTCGGTCAATTTTATATATATATATATATATATATTTTTTTTTTTTAATTGATTTTAGAGAGAGGGGAAGGGAAAGGGAGAGAGAGATAGAAACACTGATGAGAGATCGATGGGCTGCCTCCTGCACGCCCCCTACTGGGGATTGAACCCCAAACCCGGGCATGTGCCCTGACCAGAAATC